GAGAGAGAGAGAGAGAGAGAGAGAGAGAGAGAGAGAGAGAGAGAGAGAAGGTACGTCTCCAACCTCGCGGCTGGCCTCCTGGTACTTTCATCGATAGGATCAGCAAAATCGAATGAATCCACCACTAGAACATGGAAATATACACTGCACACATGCGTGCAGCGCACCCAGATGCACGCACCTTGGGTCCGCGCACAGTGCCGGTGCGCCGCGAGTACGATTCATCTCGATGTTGATGCATGGGAACGTGAAGCTGAAAATTAGGTAATGAATAATTCAGTATGACCTGGAGCGTGGTCCCATTAGCAGTTGGATAGGAGTGTTGCCGATCGAGTGTGACACTGTGTGGCAGTGGCCTGACAGGTTTATTACGAATTTCTGGGCTGAGAAAACAGAGAATGGAAAGAAAAAAAAAGAAGCAGAGACCTCCCACAGGAAATCTCGGCAGAATGCTTCCCAGCCATCAGATCACAAATGATCTGATGGTGGTGGTTGCTGCAACAACAGTGAACAAACTAACTGCCACATTTTTTTCTCTGGAATAAACTCGACTTCTGCCAGCAGTGATCATGACGCCCTCCATATATATACTCCGTGATTGAAGAAGGGCTCCACCCAATGAGATAATTGCACAACAGCGAGCAAAATACTGAAAATCTTCTATCCAGTGGCCTATGGCCGATCCCACCCTTTTCGGGATTGGCCATACCCCTAACGGATTGAAAAGATTTTGGCGGGAAGCTTCCTTTGCACAGGCATGCCCAACACGGATTTCAAGAAAACAACAGGGAAAAAAAAAAGATCAAGCGGAAAAAGGAAGAAGCACCAAGTACCAGGCGCCCGTATTGAAGGACCGGTCACCCGCTACTCTACCAATTGCATTCACATAAAACAAATAATTTTGGTAGCCCCCCAAAAAAGAGGTTCAGGAAGGTGGCCCGTAGGGTACTGGTGCTTTCAGGAGGGGAGCAGGGGCACAAAGATCTCCTTACTTTTCCGGGTAATACATGTAAAAAATACAGACCGTGGGATCACTCACCAGACAGTATCCCCTTGCTAGTGGGACCAAGCTCCTGGAGCCAGTCACCTGTGCTGCAGAATCTGACTATCGTCACCCTTTCGATAATCAAACACAAAAAAATTCAGAAGCCGCAGTACGAGAGCAAGACATGGCAGCATCCACCGTCAGGGAAGCAAGGGTGGAAAGCAAGAAGAAAGGAGGGGGGGAAAAAAAAAAAAGTGTAAAAGATTTTAAAGAAAGCCAAAACAGTTGAAAAAACTTCAAAAAAGGGGAAAAAAAAAAAAAAACATAATTGAATGATGGAGTTCACGGGAAAAAAAAAAAAAA